CCTAGCTGTGGTGGACCCTTGGTTTGCATATCTAAACCTTATTTTAAATTATATTCCTACAATCGGTACATGTGAGGAGTCCTCTTGAAGGATGTTCTGAGGATAGTTTTTTTTAAAAAAAATATTGTTTCTTTGTTGGTCTTCATTTGTTTTAGTCGTTGGAAGTTGCCTCTTTCCTTTTTCTGAAGTTAGTTGTTTTCTCTAACCTATTTTGTTCTCTAAGTTATGTCTTAATTTTATAAAAGTAAGATTTGATTCTCTTTGTTGTTCTCTCTTGTGCTTTGCTCTAATTTGTTTACATCAGTTTATTTAGAGAAAGAGAACTTATTTGATTAGGAGGAATTATGAAGGTTTATTTAGGAAAGGAGGATCGATTTGATTGGAAGGAAATTACAAATATTTATTTAGGAAAAGAAGACTGATTTGATTGGGAGGAAATCGGGAAAGTTTATTTAAGAAAAGATGGTTGATTTGAATTCAGATTTGGGAGGGAATAAGGAGAGATTGTTTAGGGCTAATTATGTTATTTTATTTTCATTATGTGATTGTATTTGCTGTATTTATTCTTTGGAGTTATTCCTAGCGGCGCCTTCGATTTGTGGAGAGCCGCTCTACCTCTCGAATGTTAGATCAACTTGTATCTTGGTTTGCTATGCCTTTATGAAATAGAATTAGCCAATAATCTCTTCCTTTCTCGCTGATTTCTGCTGCATTTTTCCTTCGGAATTGATGTTTTTGCTGTGAGGATTCCTATCACATTGTCATCTTAATAACATTGTTACATTGTTATTTTGATAACCCTGCCATCTAAGAAATTTTAAAGCAAACAAATTAAACATCCAATCAATTGCAACTTAGGATGCTTATTTAGACAAATTAATGTTGTGTTCTAAACAGAATTATCATTCATTTATAACATTTGTATAAAATAACAAGTTAAAACATTAGCTGGTTACCAAGTGATTGATTGGCAAACTAGCTATCTATCAAACCTTTTAGGAATAATCATACCGACAGTAACAAAATTTGCAATTTAAGGCACTAATACATGCTTAAATTTTATAGGTTACCAAGTGATTGCCAAACTAGCTATCTATCAAACCTTTTAGGAATAATCATACCGACAGTAACAAAATTTGCAATTTAAGGCACTAATACATGCTTAAATTTTATAATAAACCAGTAATTACTACAATTATAATGCTACAAAAATGTATGTTCTGCTCTCACTCGCTGCCACCCTCCCTATACGGTTCACAACAACCATGCCTAATTGGAAAAACACACTAATTGTATGTTGTAACCACAAGGGATCTGGGGATATGAAATTGCTGAATCTCTAATCCATGAGGCACCGCTTTTTAGTCTGGCCAGATTAGGCAATTTAGCTCTTATTATCTAATTTCCTAATCGTCTAATCAGGGACAAAAAATGTGTCAGTTCAGTATTTACCATACATAGAGAATGAGATGCAATTATTTTGACAAGCTTGTGGCAAGTTAATATCAACATGGCCAAAAACTCATCAAAATAATAAACTATGTCATTAGTTAAAAAATGAGAGAGTTGCAAACATCTAATTTGCTGTCTAGATCGTATCTCAGCCACACTACTTATGATTTTAAAGAAGAAAGCTGTAGGAATTCCAATGAGCATTCGATTTATATGGAATTCTTGTAGTACACTGTGGTGCAGAATTGTTAAACATGTATAGTAGCATACAAGCCATTATTTTACCTTTACTTCCCAACTATTTCCATATTGAAAAGGTAATAAATTTCAGGACCAAGTAAATACAAGAAATTATTACCGTGTTGAATCTATTAAATGCAAGCAAGCCATTAGACTTATAAAGAACATCATCAAACTGCAAAGCTAACTGAGGATCATAACCACTTAATGATTCTTTGATTTTCACTCTTTCAACTATGTTGCACCGATACACCTATTTATGAAGCATCTTGTATCTGATACATGGATACTCCTCTGATACGGCACCGATACGTGTTGGATACGGCTTTGCAGTATCCAATTAAAATACTATTTAATTTCAAAAGGACATGCATATCCGATACACGTGTCCGTTGAAAAACAAAAAAAATCCAAAAAAAAACCCGTCGTATTTACTTCTGTGACTGCGAGCAAGGTTCTCTCATTTCTGAGATGAATTTGAGTCTCTTGATGATACGAGAATATTAGAAATTGCTAATCTTTCACTTGATGAGCCTGAATTAGAAGCTATGATATTTAATGAAGATGATAGAGAAGTATAAAGGCAAACCATTGAAGAAGCTAATCATATCATTCCTTCTATTGAATAGTTAAAACTTCATGTGCTAGACAATTTATGTTTATGCTTTTGTTGTTATACTAGACATTTAATGCTTATTTTTATTTTGATATTATAAACTACAAGGCTACAAATGATGTTACTTTCTTTTTTTTTTTTTTGCAATTTCAAATATTATGCTTTGATTGTTTTCTTAATTTTTATGTATGATTTATAAATTATAATGTTGTGTTCGTGCCGTACCCATATCCTATTTTTTTAAGAATTGACGTGTCCCGTATCCTTATCGTGTCGTATCCATGTCGCCGTATCCGTATCGGTGCAACATAGCTTTTCAATAAACAAATTTAAAAAATTAGATCAAAGAAAGCAGTCTCCCAGAATCATATAGATTCAGCACATCTAATGGAACTATTTCATAAATGTAACCACCCAAATAGCTCAATTCACCTACTCATAGACCATAAATTCAAAGGGATGAAGTTTACCAGGCTTCAAATCACGATGAATTATGCCATGCGAGTGCAAACACTCCATCGCCCTTGCAATATCCAGCGCAAACCCAACAGCAACACGTTCGTCCAAGCTCCGCGGCCTCAGGCTAATCAGGTGCTTCCTGAGCGACCCACCAAGCACAAGCTCAGTCACCACAACCATAACAGGCTCCTTGCAAGCCCCGATGAACTGCGCATCAACACAATTTCCATTATAAATCATCCAAATCCCCAAATTGATTCTATTATCTCTCAATTGGAAAAGCCTTATCTCTCAATTGGAAAAGCCCAAACCTTCACAAGATTCTTGTGCTGAACTCTGGACAGCAGGTTAACCTCCCTCATGAACCTGGCCTCCCTCTTCCCCGCTTCCTCTGCGGTATCCCCTCTTTGCACAATCTTTACTGCAACATTCTGGTTCTTATACCTACAGTAAAAGAAGGCGAGATCAACGAATCTGCTGCCTAATAGGATTCAAGAGAAGAACCTCATCACAAAACCTACTTCCCCTCGTAGACCTTTCCATGGGCACCCTCCCCGATCCTGGGGCCAACAAAGAGCAGTTTGGGGTCGATCAGCCACTTGGGATCCAAACGGAGCTCGTCCACATTGAGGAAACCCCTCCCGGCCTCCATCTCTCCACGGCTGCAAAAGATCTACCATCTAAGATGGCATCGTACTGTGAAGAACATCAAGAGCAATAAATTGATCTTCCCAACGCAAATCGGAATCCTTGCTCTCTGTTCAAATGCTATGGTTGAATTGCAGCACTTTTCAAGATTTCTAGAATCAAAGCCGCATCGGTGTTAAAAGCATCGATAGATTATAGGAGTTCAAGGAGTTGCATGGCAGGCTTCTTCTGCCTCTCTCTATAAGCAGCGGGAGCTTGAAGAATTGCTGAGGAAAACGAGCGTCGGGAGCGGCAGAAACCAACAGTGGCAGCGGATTAAGTATAAGAAATAAGTAAAGGGGATAGAGATCTGATCTGAGAGGGGACAAGAAACCCCAGTCGATGAAATGATGCCACCCGAACCCATCCACATCCTATCATCGATCAATTGCGTGTCTAGGTGTGAGATATCGGTCTCTTTGAATTTCTTTCTTACGGCATTAAACATATTTATTTATTTTTTTTAATTCCTGCTTGTAACTAACTTTATTGAAAAATAATTAAAAAAAAATAGCGCTCTTGCACGCATCATTTTAATTTCAGTGTGTTTTAAAACGAACACAACTGAATGAATAATTCTTAGGGGCTGTTTGGTTGCCTGAATTAGGAGTGTAAAGTAAAACAAATACATGTATTTATTAAATTAGATTGTTTGGTTAACTTTGAGCGCAGCAAAAGAAAACTGCCCGATGTATTAGGCGTGTATTAGAATGGCTGTTTTGCGGGAATTCGAAACCCGCTCATATTGAGCGGGTTATAAATACACTCGACGGAAATGCCTCGTCGTTGCTGTTCGGCTTCATTGCTTCGCAGGTGGTGTAAGATTGCACGAGTGGCTTCTACGGCTCCTTCGTTCTTGTTCGACTTCGTTCCTTCGACGACGACGTTACGTTTGCCTGATCGGAAGTTGCGACATTTCCATCGGAAGTAACGGCGGAAGCTCGGACTTTCGGAAGGTAAATTTATCCCTTTCGAGGTATATTTTGCTCCTTCGACGGCGTTCCCTTTCATATCCTGAAAGAGAGAAACTAGCCTCTCTATTTCTCTCACTCTCTCTCTCTCTCTGGTTTCCTGCCTGCTCTGCTTCTTCTGAAAACGCTGAGATATACAGAGAGAAAGAGAGATGGAGAGCAGAAGCTTCCCTGTGATTAACATGGAGCTTCTTGAGGGTTCTAAGCACTCGGTCGCCATGGCTGTTCTTCGAGACGCCTGTGAGAACTGGGGATTCTTCGAGGTGAAGCCCTGCTCTTACTTTTTGTCTCCCCTGATTTTTTTTTTCTGAAGATAAAACAATAGTAATTGGGAGGGCTTTTTTCTTTTAGTTTCAGTGCCCTATATTAAGCAAATTTTATTAATTTTTATATCATTTCACAAAAAATAAAAGCTCTAATTTTATTTTTCTTGAAATGATTTTTTAACAATGATAAAAAATTGTCAACAGAAGCCCGTTATGGCATCTCCATGTGATTTAAAAGTTTCTACATAAGAAAGATCTTATATTATTTCTACAGGTTTAAAATTACTCAATAATGTGAGCTTCCAGGAAACATGACGCTTTTAGACTAGTACATTAGTTATAATGACAAAAAATATATTATAAATACACTACTTTTACTTTATTCTGGATATATCTAACCAAACAAAGGAAATCGTTCTCCTGCGTTTACTTTGCAGACAACCAAACAACCTCAAAGTATTTAGAATACACTACATTTATTTTACACTGCATTTACTTTACACTGCGTTTACTTTGCAGGCAACCAAACAGCCCCTTACTACCGTCCAAGAAAAATTAATTTTAAATGTCAAAGGAGTTTATTTTAGAAATTTTTTGGGTGGAATTTTATAGCATTTAGTTCAAAGGAACAACAACTCGTGTCACTATCCTACAGTGTTTCAACTTAGGTCTAGAGGATTGTGTAGCATCAAAATTAAATGGACATTTTTTTTGAATGTAAAGCATGTTGAGATTATTTAGTTGGGAAAAAAAAAGATATGCAGTGTACAAAAAATACATTATTTTTTTTCAATTTTTAAGTGTTTGGTTGGACAAAGTACAAAGTAAACTAAAATTCCAATGCATTCCTATTCCCCCACTATAACTCATTTCACACGTAAAGTAAATCCGCCATATTTGAGCAAAAAAGAAAATCAGCTCGGCGAGAAAGCGGGAACCATCTTCGTCTCTTCCTCCTCTTTGTTTATTCCAAGTTCGAAGCTAAAGTCATCATCGGTGAGAAGTGCCTGTTGAAATTCACACAAGCTTGTGACTCGTCTGTCATAGGCTCGACATCTGTCTGGCCCTCGAAGTGTCGAACCAGTCCCGTTTGGCACTCATTCCATCCAATGGAGTTTGTACATGTGTTCGAGTTCATCCTTGCTCTAAATCGGGACATCAACGCACCTTGGTTTTCCTATTTCATGCCAGATTCTCTTCCCTACCTCCGATTGAAGCCTCAATGGGGTATTAGTGACGAAACGAATGTTTCGTTTGGTCCACAACATATAGTGATCGCATTGTCGCATGTATTAGTAGTGCCTAGTTATCTGGCTTCCACCAACCGATCTAGTGTTGTTGTATAGCAGGATGACCCGAGCAGGGCTGTGGGGTCGAAAACACATCACAACTCTAGTGAGAGCACACATATTTTACTTTATATTACATACACCTAGCCAAACAAAAAAAAACTCTTTTACTGCATTCACTTTACATACATTCAAATAACATCAAGTATTTACTATACGCTGCATTCATTTTCCATCCAACCAAACAAACCCTTAGTTCCTCATGATTGAAATACAAACAAGTATATAGTTATATTATTACTATTGAATTCAAAATTTTTCAAGGATGATATCCAACCTCAGTAACAGATAATCTCTAGAAACAAACTGAAGATCGAGTGGTAGTTGAGTTTGTATAGAGTGTAAGAGCTCTATTTATGTTATAAGTGGGGCAATGTGGAATCCATAGAAGAGGAGAAACGCCAAGGGGTCTCGACAATCTCGTTGCATGCTAGAACATTCACAATGGTAGAGATATAGAGTTTAATTTCTTAGCTTTGCACGAATACATAGCACACACATACATAAGATAGGCGGGGTGCAAATTTTGTAAAAGACATTAGAGTTTTTACGTGAACAACTTAGGAAAGGGATAAATAATGGGGCTTGACTCAATTAAGATGGTTTCACTAGTATTTTTTTTAGTTAAAAGTGAAGCCCTTATTCAAGGAAAGGTGTTTATAAAGTACCCATTAAAATGTTGAAGTTGGGATAGCCCTTTGACAATAATCCAGCATAAATCCAAGTGTTAAAGTTGAGAGCCAAAGTTGAAGTTAATGGGAGAGCCCTTAAGCAAGATTCTAACATAAGTGACATTATGTGTTAGCATATCGGTAATAGTAAGTAATGAAGTTGGCAAGCAATAGAGTTGTCAGGCGACACTTTGTTGAATCTTGTTGAATCTAGAATAAGTTGTTAGACCTAAACTAATGTCCCAAGGCTAACCAAGATGGGGGATAAATTGGTAATTTAAAAAATTACTCATGGATTTAAAAGTTAGAAACCGATTAATGATTCATAGCAAGTTAATTTTAAAAATTTTAAAATAATTTTTCAACCATGGAAAAATAAACTTGCAGTATGTAAATAAGCAACAGAAATAAAAGACACAATGGTATATAGTAGTTCAATCGAATATGACCTACATCTATTCCCTGAAGCCTCCAACTTCAGGTATTGTACTATTACCAAAGTGACTCTCCTTTTACCCCCATAGCAAGGCAAAGAAGCCTTCATAAAACTCTCTTCCACCAATCCCTGGTGCGGTAGAGAACTCACTACAGGAAAACAGCTCATTTCCGACAGAATTTCTGACGGAAATAAATTCGTCACAAATTCCGGCGGATTTTCCGGCGGCTTTCTGACGAAAAATTTTCAACGAATTTCCGACATAATTTTTTACTGATTTTCCGACGAATTTTTTTCGAATGCATTTCCGGCGGAATTTCCGACAAATTTCCGACATAAATTAAAAAATTAAGTTAAATTAAATTATTTAAATTAAATATTTTTTATTTTAAAATATAACTTAAATTATTGAATTTATTAACTTAAATTATTGAATTTAATAAGTTAAATTATAATCTAATTATTTAATAACAAATGATTTAAATTTAAACTTAAATTATAATAAAATTTTGAAATTACTTATTTGGTTAAATTAAGTTACACTTTGTAATTAACAGTTTTTTGTTTCTTAAATAATACGTAATAGGTTAATTAATAGTTTTTGATATTAACCCACGGTAGAAATAATACGTAATAGCTTAAATAAAAAAAAATATCTTATTTAACAGGTTTGGTTTCTTGACTAGATGGCAGATGCCGCGACAGTTCCGCTTCCGCGCGTGGAGAGGTGAGGGGAGGGCGGGGTTCGAACCTCACCGAGGGCACATGGTTCACGCGGGACGGCCTAGCTCACGCAGGCTGGAAGGCCGTGGCTGGTGCGCGGCTCGGGCAGTGGGTGGTTCACGCGAGCGGGGCAAAGCCGGCCGTGGCTTCAGCGCTAAGCGGCTGTGTCCAGTACCGCGTACGAGTTGGGGTCCTGGAGTAGCTGGCTGGGTTAGCTGAATTGATTTTTTTCCTTGAAATTCCGGCGCATTAAAAATTTGACGGAAATATTTTCCAGCGAAAAATCCGCCGGAAATACGTCGGAAATGTTTCCGGCCAATTATTTTACGCCGGAAGTCTTTTTTCGACGCGCGTGTAACCGGCGAAAAAAATTCCGCCGGAAATGTAATTTTCTGACGGATTTTTGCCATTTTCCAACGAAAATGTCCGCCGGAAAATGACGTTTTTCCTGTAGTGACTGTCGTTCTTTCACACCCTCCAATTATAGGAAGAGAACCTTCGTCCTTTCACACCCTCCAAGTATAGGCAGAGAACCTTCATCCTTTCACACTCTTCAAGTGTAGGCAGAGAACCTTCGGCTATTCACACTCTCCAAATGTAGGAAGAGAACCTTCGGCTGTTCACACTCTCCAAGTGTAGGCAGAGAACCTTCGGCTGTTCACACTCTCTAAGTGTCGGCAGAGAACTTTCAGCTATTTACACTCTTCAAGTATCGACAGAGAACCAGATCTTCTTGAAAGATCTTCATACTAGCAATCTAGGAAAAAATCTCTCTCAAAACACTCTCTCACACTCTCTCCTTCAATTGCCCTTTACAAATCACGAAGACCAAATAACAAAAAGATTAAGTGATAGTTTTTAGTGGACCTTTTATATAAAAGACACGAAAAACCGTCCAAAAAATTAAAATTTTCAAATTTGACAGTCCACGATCATTTGTATAATCATGTATTTGTACATA